TTTCTTTTAAGAAATCTTCTATGGCTTGGCTTAGATTTCTTGTGGACCTTACCTGCTCCATCCCAATTCTCAGTCAATGGGCATGTGTATGTTTTTTGTAATATGTAATTTGTCTCACATGCTAGTGCCTCTGCCACTTACTGGTCTGATTATATTGCCACCCTCACTATTTCTTCCTCTCGTTACTGCTCCCCCAACTGTTTTGTATGTTTCCTTTTTCTCATAGGCACAAGTCCAGCTCATGAGAATATTGCAAGCCAGGACTCTATGAATAAGGATAAAACCGTACTAACTATGGTAAGGAAATACATACATGTTAACACTAAAAGTAATAATATATTACAATGGTAGAACTGTCCCTTTAAGTTTTCAAAGTACTCTTAAAAGTATTAATATTATTTTATCGTTTCAAACTGTTATGAGGTTGATAGAATTTAATTACATCAATATTTTATAGACAAGGAAGTAGAGGCCAAAGTGTTTTTGTGACTTGTCCAAGATCACACAACAGAGTCAGAGGTAGGACCTCCTGGCTTCACCTTGATTTTTCATTGATTAATCTTTCACTCACTCATTTATTTTTTCATCAAAGGTCTATTGGAATCAAGCTACATATCTCTTAATAGAGGGCTGCTTAAATAAATGAATGCATCAAATAAAGTTGAATAAATAAAATTGAATAAAACAGTTATATCTATCCTAGTAATATATTCCAATCAGATGAAGAAAAAGATAATTACTCAATAATTAGAGTGTGATTAGTGATTTGAAAGGAAAAATGCTTGGGATGGAAGGCCAGAAAAGTCATGGAGGAGGTACCATGTAAGTAATATTGAATGTTCTGTAGTTGCATGGCAAAGCTTGAAAAACATTGTAAGGATATCTGTAAATGTTCATAGAAAGGAGTTACATTTATTTCCCTAAAGAGGACTCATTATTTTCATTCATTATTAAAATTCATTATTGTATGAATTAATAATTATTGAAGAGTAACTTATAGACTATGGATCCAATTCCACAATTCTTCAAGGGTCTTATGTATTAGTCTCTCCATCATAGATGTGGAGTTTTGGGTGAGTGTATTACTGTTGCTTTCCCCTCAGTGTATAAGCATTGTTCTAGTTAGGCCCATCTGGTTGCAAGAAACAGAGACCCATGCAAGCTAACGCAAGTTAAGAGGTGGTTATGGCATGGCTACATTTGGGGCAATAAGGTTTTTACAGCATTTGAGTCTGAAGGGAGCAGAATGACTGGACATGTGATTTGGGATGATCCTTTGACTATATACTATGAAGTAGAATCAACCCTTGGTTTCCGTAGGGGATTGGTTCCAGGACTCCTGCAGATACCTAAATCAACAGATGCTCAAGTCCCTTCTATAAAATGGTGTAATATTTGCATAAACCTATGCATACCCTCTTATATACTTAAATCATTTCTAGATTACTTATAATACCTAATACAATGTAAATGATATGTAAATAGTTATTATACTGTATCGTTTAGGAACAATGACAAGAAAAGTCTGTACGTGTTCAGTACAGACACAACCATCATAAGCCTGATTACATTGTTGATTCTGGGTTGATTGAATCTGCAGATGTGAGACTTGAGGATGCAGAGTGCTGACGGTGCTGGGAGAGGGTAGTGCGGGCTGGGCTGGCACACGTGCTTAAAATGGTTGCCCCTTGTGAAACGTGAACAGAGGAAAATCCTTTAGTCTCTCATAAGAGGATCTTCTGAGAAAAAGTTCCTTCTCATCTCAAAAAAATGTAGACATAAAGACACTTAAAAAAATAATGGATTCTCCATCCTGGATGATAGAATGGGAAAAAAATGGATTAGAAAAATGCAGTCATGGAGGTGGTGGGACTGGTTAGGATACCATGGTGATAACTCAGACACGATGAAGGCAGTGCGAATTTAGTGACAGTGGAGAAAAGGAGACTCATCTGAGTTGTATTTAAGAGGTAAAATTCACAGTAGATTGTGACATATCAGGGGTGCGGGAAAGGTAGAGACCCAGGTTTATGGCTTAACCTACAGGAAGAATAGAATAACATGAGAATAGGGAGGAGGAAGGGATTCATAGATGGTTTTAGATGCTACAGTGAGGTCAAGTATGATAAAGAGTGAAAATTATCAGTTGGATTTGGCAATAGGGAGTTCACCAATAACTGGTGAGAGCACTTTCCTTGGAGTGTCGGATGAAGGGGTGAAGTAGTTAATTGATCACACATGGAAGATGAACTGGAAATAGCAGCTGTGGACAACTCCTCCCAGAGGTGTGGCTGTAGAGGGCAAGAGAAGAAAATGCTATGGCTGGGAAGGGTCATGGGATTGGGAGAGGATTCAAAAACTTAGGGGATATTTAAATGTTCATGACAACAATTCAGTGTTATATCTATGCTATTGTATTTGTTACATTTTATTGAAACCTTAATTTCAATTGTCTAAAAATTACATGACATGGTATCAATGGCCCCACCAAGGAACTTTGTCTTCTTAGACTTAGTTTTTAATGGAAAATATTTTTTTGGTTTTCTAAATTTCTCCATTAATCTGAGAATGCTGAATAATTATTATTTTAAAAAGTCTTATACACCAATTTGCAGTCCCACCAGCAGTGTAAAAGTGTTCCTGTCTCTCCACATCCTCGCCAACATTTGTTGTTTTGTGTTTTTTTGATAGTGGCCAATCTCACTGGGGTTAGGTGATACCTCATTGTGGTTTTGATTTACATTTCTCTAATGATTAGAGATGTTGAGCATTTTTTTATATGTTTGCTGGCCATT